ACAGGGTGTCAATCAAGAGGATTGTTGCTCAGCCTAAGAGACATCGGTGACCTAATTCTTTTTTTAAAATATTTTGGATAAATTACAAATACACTCTCTGAGATTTGAAAAATTATAAGATATATTTGGTTTAGATTTGTAGAGTAATTTTGGGAAAAAATTTCTAAAAAAATTTGTTTGGTTTGTAAATTTTCCAAAATAATTTCCAAAATCACTTTATCTCTCTTACCTATCAATCAATTACTTTTTCTCTCTCTTCTCTCCTTCTTAAACACTTTTTCTTTTTTTTTGAACACCTAAGCTTTCAATTAAAGAGGCAAATTGGGTACATCAGAAGTAAAAAAAGAAACTAGAGGAGCAGGAGGGCATACAGCCCAAGTTATAGGTAATGTCTTAGAAAAACAAGCCTTAGCAACCCAGTGCACTGCTGCATTGTTGAGTCTGCTTGTCCAGGAAAAAGATAAAGAGTGTGTGGAAGCAAGTCCTCGAATGTCCAGAATAATGGCACTATACTCCCATGGTGGCACTGTTTCAGATACGTAGAGGGAGATCACCGATTTGTTGTCGCTTTCGATTTCCACTCACGAGAGATTAAGAGCTTTAGCCATGAGACACGCTAGACGCACTGAATGTGCCTCAGCTTGTGCTGCAGACGAAGCCTTGCAAGTTTGAGTAGAACCAGTCAGAAGGTTGCCCTTTGAATCTCAAAGGATTGCAGCCAAGGCAGCTGATGAGGAAGACTGACAAAAAGCTGCATCACAATTGAATTTGACGCTGGTGTGGGAAGGTGACTGCCAACCTAAATGGGAAGGACGGTTGGGGACGGCAGAGGCCTGATTGTGAGGGTTGAAAGAGCCAATTAGAGCGTCATGTTCCTGCCAGAAGTGAGTTATCTTTTGCAATGTAACATGAGGGTCGACCACTTGATGATTAAAAACAAAATCATTTCTAGATTTCCAGATGAACCAGGCAATAGTGGCAGCTGAGCTGATGATGCGTTTGGATTCAATCTTCGAATTACCTCCCTGCAAAAGGTCATTGGTCCACCTTGTCACATATGCAATCGAGCCGGGATTCGCTAACATATTTAGAGAGCTACCGAACCAAACAACTTTTGTCCATGGGCATTCGAACAGGAGATGCTCCACAGATTCATCGTCTTTCCTGCAAATAGGACATTCACCCGAAGCTGCACATTTACGTCGAAACAGACCCAGCTTTGTTGCCAACAAATTATGACAGACTCTCCACCAAAAGTGACGGATTTTGGGAGGGATATCAAGAGCCCAAATAGAGTTCCAAAAATCTGTACCAAGGATGAGAGATCCGGAGGGCTTAGAAGGGCCATTGGAGTTGTGGCATATCTGCTTTGCTAAGGCATAGCCGGACTTAACGGAGTAAACTCCCGATGGATTGTGGTGCCAAATTAAAAGATCATCTCTGTGAACTGCTGCAATGGGGATGGTAAGGACAACCTCTAAATCTTCTGGTGAAAGCCATTCTTTGAGAAAATCATGTTTCCATATAAGAAAATGACATTAGATATTTATATATAGATGAAATATAGGTGTGCCAACAACATTTCCAAAGTCAAAAACAGAAAAAGAATAGGGGGAATTAGAATTTTTGTTTAATTAGAAACAATTAAAAAATAAATAAAACTACAAATAAAAATTAATATTTATCAATGGAAAAAATTTCAAAACAAAAAATTTATTTTTGTACAGAAATAAAGCAACAAGTGTTTTCAAACTTTTTATTATCTTTATTTTTGAAAATATTAAAAATAGCAACTGAAAACATAACCAAGTAATTTAATTCCTTACATAGAGAGAGTATATTAGTTTTCTCAAGTCTCATTTGTTAGGTTTTGTTCTTGGCAATCCCGTTTAACAAGGATTTCTATAAGAAGTTGGTTTTCTTTCAAAACCAGGATTACTTTGGAATTCTTTGAGAAGTTGGTTTTCTTCCAACACCAGGATTACTTTTGGTTTTCTATAAGTAGTTGGTTTTCTCTCAAGACTAGATTAATTCCTCCAGATCTTCTTTGTGAATATTAAGGTTTATATCTGGAGATATTTTGTTTTCTTTGATGTTTTATTGAGTATTCAACTCATGGTTTAAAGAGAGTACATCAAAAGTTTTGTTTGGTATACACAAGAAAGAGAGAGTTGTTCTTCGGTGGATTCTGAAGAATTCGAGCCTGAAGCTTCGGTGGATTCTGGAGTGACTCATTGTAAAGACAATTCCGAGGTGAAGACGTGGTTGGAAGAGGCACATAGAGGTTGGTTCAATTAGGCGTGGATTCGCTAGGTAATTGAGAGTATACCTGTGTAATTCCTTTATATCTTCTTAGTGGATTGTTTTGTGGCTGTTGCCCGTGGTTTTTTATCACAATTGGAGGTGTCCAATTGTGATTTTTCCACGTAAAATCATTGTGTTGATTTGTCTTGATTGTTTGATTAGGATTGTTATATACTGCTTAAAATTGATACATAATCACAAATCAACATCTAGGGGATTTCTAGATTTTTCAATTGGTATCAGAGCAGGTCGTTCTATTTTTTTAAAAAAAAAGATCTTTTAGAACGCTCTATTTTTTAAAAAAAAAAAAACAAATTCTTTTAGAACGAGATTTTGTTTGATTTGTGATAATGGATACAATTCGTGAGGAAAATTCTATGATTCGACCATCCCTACTTGACGGATCCAATTATTCTTTTTGAAAAGCTCGGATGAGATCGTTTTTAAAATCTATTGATGAAAAAGTTTGGCAATCTGTCATGTATGGGTGGACTGAACCAACGATTACTATTGATGGAGTAACTTTCCCCAAACCAACTGATAAGTGGGACACAACTGATTACCGAAATAGTAGCTGGAATAGTAAAGCTATCAATTCTTGATTACCAAAATAGTAGCTGGAATAGTAAAGCTATCAATTCTCTTTTTTGCGCTGTCACACCTGAAAAGTTTAGTCGTATTTGCAATTGTGAAGTCATAAAAGAGGCTTGGGATATCTTACAAACTATTCATGAGGGCACTCTTTCAGTTAAACGCTCAAAACTTTAAAGGCTCACGTCTAGTTTCGAAAACCTTTCAATAAAAAATAGTGAGACATTTGATGAATTTTATGCGAAGTTGAGTGACATTGTAAATTCTAGTTTCAATTTAGGTGAAAAAAATACCAGAATCCAAAGTTGTGGGAAAAATTTTGAGATCCTTACCCGATCGGTTCCAACCAAAAGTTACGGCTATTGATGAGGCTCAAGATGTTGACACTTTTAAGCTGGATCACTTGGTTGGAAATCTCCAAACTTATGAGGCACATAGGAATTTGAAAAAGAAACAAAAAGATATTGCTTTTAGTAGTGCTCATAAAGTGGTTGAGGATTCTGATAAGAATTGTGAGATATATTCCAAGATTATGGCTGCTTTTGTTAAATAATTTAAAAAATCATTTTTGAATAAAAATCCTAATCTTTTGAAATCTACTCATTCTCATAAATCCAAAGGCAAAGATAAAGTCAAAATTAATTCTATAGCCAAGAAGGAGAAAGGAAAGATACAAGGGAACTTTGAAAGTGTCCAATGCTATGAATGCCAGGGATTTGGTCACTTTGCTTCAGAATGCCCCACTCGTTTGAAGAAGAAGAAAGCTCTCGCTATCACTTGGGATGATGAATCAGAATCTGATGAAGATGATAGTGACAATGAAGATCAAGGCGAAGAGGGACATAAACAATTCCTTGCTTTCATGGTGGCTTCCGAAACTGAAGGACAAATAGAGTCTTCGAAGAGGTCAGTTGAGAATACCACTGATGATGAATCCTCGGAGAGTGATCATGAAAAACTTGAGCAAACTTATGAAAAGTTGTATAAGGAGTCTCTTAACTTATTCAAATTGAACGACAAACTCACAAAGAAACTCAAAGCATGTGAAAGTGAGAATGTCAAACTTAAGGAGGAGATTTCCGAGGCCAGGATTAATGCCATCAAGGTAGCTGATGATCGACAAGTTCTTTGTGCAAAACTGTTGACTTGTGAGACAGAGAGGAATGAGCTAGGAAATTACATCGGAAAAAAAAAAAAAAATAAATCAAAGAAAAAAAAAAAAAAAAAAAAAAAAAAGAAGAAGTAAAGTAAAGCAAAGCAAAAAAAAAAGGTGTATAAATTCAATGTCTTTTTGATACTAACGTTAATTTTGTCTAAATAATTACAATAACAGGGAGGTCAGTATAATTTTCCAAACATCAGGAGTAATATGTATTAAATCCAAACCTCAACGGTGTAAGTGTAATTTACCAAAAAATATAAAACACTTTTATAAAACCAAATATAAAATAGATATTTTGAAATGTTTGAAAATTATTGCCGTTCTCAAATGGGTAAAATCATCTGAAAATAATAAGTTATTTTTTCAATTTTTTTCACCAAATTAAAAAAAAAAATTCTGAAAATCAAGACTGACTTTTAAAGTTTCTTTTTCACATCGCACATATGGGTTTTCGCCACGTGTCCATGCCAGCATGTGTCCTGCGTTTCATGCATGAGAATGAATGCATTAACCAAAGACAGTTCTTTAATTCACATCATTAATGTCTCTTTATTCTCAACCTTTAACACCTAATATTAAATTGAGCAATTTTGGAGACGGAAAGAAATTATTAAGTCCTCTTGTCGCATTACATGTCATACGTTACATGATATTTCATATCATTCATGACGCGATATACGATCATAAAATTGGTAGAACCTACCAACACAATACTTTGATACACACAATCTACGCCATGTAAAACCTGAAAACCTGAATAACTTTTGCTAGATACAAGGTTAATTATAAGGCTCATATTGTCCGACTTCTCTTAAAAATATATTATATGTGTCAGTTGATATTCTTGAACTACTACACCGCAACTAATACCGATTTGCAAGTGTTCTTCCATCTCTCTATTCATTTTCATTCTAAAATAAGCAATGTTGGCCGGGCTCTCTAGGTACAAGGAGGTAGTTTTAGAGCATCAGACACATTTCCTAGTGATAGACATCTTATTGAGTTATGGGCACCAAATTCTCAGCCACTGACGAACTCTGAAGGTTACTTCGATCAAAAAAGCCCGATCTCCTATGAGGACATCACCTTCCGCGACATCCTCTTCGACTCAAGCTATCGTGGTGGAGGAATTTTTGTGATTGATTCAGCTAGGATCCGCATACATGATTGCTTCTTCATCCACTTCACCTCCGAAGGAATACTAGTGCAGAAAGGACACGAGACCTTCATCTCAACCAGCTTCCTCGGACAACGCTCAACAGTCGGTGGTGATAAAGGGGAGAGAGATTTCTCGGGCACTGCCATTGATCTTGCTAGCAATGACAATGCAGTAACAGACGTTGTCATTTTCTCAGCGGCCACGGGAATCATCTTAAGGGGTCAGGCTAACTTGCTCACAGGGGTACATTGTTACAATAAGGCAACAGTTTTTGGTGGTGTCGGGATTCTAGTTAAATCTGCACAAAATAGAATACACAATTGTTACATGGATTATAATGCTATAGTGATTGAAGACCCATTTCAAGTTCAGGTTGCTAATGGGTTTTTCCTTGAAGATGGTAACATTGTGCTAAAGTCTATTAAAGGTAAAATCTCAGGGCTAAACATAATTAATAACATGCTTAGTGGGGAACCAAAAAATATGGTGCCAATCGTCAAGCTAGACGGGCAATTCACGAGCGTTGATCAAGTGGTGATCGATCACAACAATGTAGATGGAATGAGCCTTAAATCAACAGTTGGGAAATTGGCGGTGTCAGGAAATGGGAAGAAGTGGGTGATCGATTTTTCATCTGTGTCAGTGTTTCCTAATAAGATTAATCATGTTCATTACTCATTCTACGCTCCAGGGGTTAATGTTGTAGGGTTTCCATTACATGCAATGACCAATGTTTCGAGTAATGTTGTGGTGGTGGAGAGTGACATGGCAGTGACTGGGGTGGTTTCTATGGTGGTTGATCAAAATAATATGGTTGGAGAGAGAAATTTTCTCATGTAATGCATATAGAAAATGTACAATTTCATCAAATTTCATAGTGAAAGTTAAAAGAAAATGTACAATTCCATCAAATTTCATAGTGAAAGTAAATGTTTTAAGAAGAGGAAGCAAATGCTTTCAAGATTATACAAAATAGAATACACTTGAGTGTTGTCATACTCATACACTATAGAAATAATATTTAAATAGTATAGAAGAAGAATAGAGAGTTTCTTGGAGATATTTTATTTTATTATTTTTTTAAAAAGTGTACCCAAACCAAACCAAGCCTTAAGTCCCATCAAATGGGGTCGGCTACATGAATCCTTCTTCTCCACGCGGCCCTATCGAAGGCCATTTCATTAGTCAAATTAAGTAGATTCATATCTCTATTTATAACGCTAGTCAACGTTAATCTAGGCCTACCCCGTCCCCTAACACTTCCATCTACCGTTACAACATTGCATCTCTTCACTACTGCCTCTGTTGGTTAAAAGTGTATAGAGCCAAAATAGAAAAAGTAATTTCTTAACTAAAATATATTAAAATTTAACTAGTTTGACAGAAATCTTCTAACAAACTTCCCCAGATCATCCTGTTTGGGTAAAGCTAAAAAAAACTATTTTTTTGGCTAAAATAAGCCAAAAGGTCAAAAGTCTGTTTGTTCTTAGCAAAAGCAAACAAATGTTGCAAATTCCCACATTCTACTCATCATGCACACAATTCTTCTTGTAGGCACATTGGTTTTCCTTTTGGGGGCTATCACGTGTTTATGATTGCTAGTTTTACTACAAACACAAAAATTCAATGCCTTGTTCACACAATTGATTTCTTCTATTGTACAAAATACCTTATCAGTAATTCAGTATATTCATTTAACAAAAAATGGCTAGCAATTCAACAACTCATTTACTTCCAAGTAAACATTCAATGTCGTGCCTATCACATAGACAAAAAAATCATTTTTTGAAGGATCTTTCATATAAGATTGAATCAGCAATGCACAAACACTAGGCTAAGCCTAACCTGTTGCAGACTTTGCAAGCCAAACAGAAATCTGAAAAGTGATACTCCTGCTCCCTCCATTGCCTCATCTTGATTTGCAATGTTCTGCTCTTGTGGTGGTCCGGTGGTTTTTGAGTATACACCAAACGCATTGTGCCCTGGCTTTGCAAGTTTCACAAAGATCACCCTGCCATCAAAATACTGATACAAGAAAAAGGGCATTATATTAGTTTCTAAAGTTTTAAAAAAAAAAATAGACAAAAATCAAGAACAAGACAAGAATAGCTAGTAAAACCTTGTGATCCATGCTTTCTAGAGCTAGCAGGGCATCGTCTTGACTAGTGTACTGAATAAAAGCATACCCCTTTGACCTCTTCGCCTTTTCATCCATAACAAGCTTAACTGTCAGTGAAACTAGATAGAATTAGCAAACTTGAAGCATGTAATGGAACAAATAGGTAGACAGGACACTTTCTCTTTTTTTTTCTCAATGAACCAAGGAAAAAAATATATGAAATGTACCTTCGGCTATCTGGCCAAAATTTGAAAATTCCTTCCTTAAACAAGTCTCAGTGGTGGAATATGATAAATCTGTCATTCATGATGCAAGGTAAGAACTTATGTCCGGGCAACAATTGATGTCATCTTGAAGAGAAATAGAGAATTTGGGCATTCAACAGATACTGAAATAGTCCATTGTCTTTCACTTAGAAGTTGAGATGAGTGCATTGCATTTGAAAGCATTTGAATATATGTACAACTACTCTTTTGCAAGTGTTAACCAAAACTACACAAATACAATTTCACAATGTCAGCTTTAATTTATAGGATAGAAAGATTACATATGTATCTACAGCATACTAGATTTCTCCTAATTCTACTAGAAAAAAGACTCAGAAATAGAGAATTTTGGCTCTTTGACCATTAAGACTTTTCTATACCCAATAAAATCACAAATAACAATCCAATAATATTCAACCTTTACAGTTTTCAACGTTCATATAATATTCAAATTCATTATAGGCTATGAACATATAATACAAATGACAAAATATAGCATGCATACACAGTCTAGTCCAAAAATAAGAATATACTAGTTGTTACCTTCCCTTCAAGATGCATGCCTGACAGGTGCAACTTCACCCACATTCCGCAACCCATTCTCTTCCAGCAAGTATTGCACTCATATCATCTGCAGTACGAAAATTCATCCCCAACTCCAAAACCTGCATTTAAAGATTTGTAATTAATAGATCATATCCAATTTTATTACAGCTGAAAGGTTTGTTGGTTCTTTAGCATACTTCTGTAACTTACATTCATGAAGCAGAGCCGAACTCTTTTCCTACTCAGTCTGTGTTCC